TTAAAACCTTTTATTTAGAAAAAATGTCGAAAAATATATAAAGTCATTAGCATATTTTTTAATAAATTTAATAAGTGATCGCTATGAGTGAGTGGAATATGTATTTATTGTGACTTCTGTATTTCTGCCTGACAGTCTTATTTTGTGATCATAGCTAAAGCTTAAAACTTTCCCTTACTTTTTTTTTACTTGTACTTTTAAAGTGACTTTATATGAATTACCTTCAATCATCAGAATTATTTAAAAAAATACAAAATCATTGACCAGCAATAGTAGAAAATCAATAATATTAGATGGCAAGAAATTACAAAAGGAAATCAAAGTTATTTTTTAAAAAAAGTGAATATTTTTTATTTCAGTAATTTAGAAATTATTTTTAAGATTTGCTTTGTAATTTGCAAAAAATTGTCTTTTGTCTGTTGCGTTAGATTTTTCGCAAAAAATATTTCTCGAAAAAGTAACACACCCTCAAAAGACATTTCATATTTATACTGTTAGAAATTTCTCGGAAAAAATGGTTAAATAAAAATAGAAGAAATTATTAGCTATTTAAATATGCTCAACCTACACTGCTTAGTAACCATGAAAAAGATAATATTCATACTGTTAATTATGAGATAAATCGTTGATTCTCACTTAATGATCGTTGATTCTATTTTATCCACGCTTATTAAGGCATGACCACCTTATGAAGTCATTTAGTTCGTTGTAGCTAGGTACATATAATAGTCGAGGGGACTTATCTGTCAACCTTATGTCTAGTTGAATAATAATGTACTACATATGTCTTGTTGAATAATAATGTACTGGTGAAAACAATTGAGGAGACAAATTATTTTTTTATTTTTTCTAATATTTTTTATATCTGCACAGCAAATGAAGCCAAAACTGGCCAGATTAACATCCGATATAAGATCAATATACGGGAAAACAAAAAATGGACACAACCTGTACCTTATAATAAGGATATTAGATACTAGTTCATCATAGCAGCTATCTGACACACTGTCAGCTACACAACTGTCGCATCGGCGTTTCATCCTGTTTACCAGGATTCTTATCAATACCTGTGGCAATCACATTCACTCTGGCACCAAGCCACTTTTGAGCTAATCGATTTCCGTTGGGGCTGGTCTTCGAGTTCCAATTCAGTGTTGAGGGGCGTCCCATACAGTTCGATGGATTGAGGTCAGGAGACATCTCAGGCCACTCCAATCGCTGATTGTCCTCCTATTGGAGATATTCATCTACCAACTGAGCCTTGAATAGACTGGTACTATCGTCCATAACGATGAAATCAGGTTCATATGCTTCGCATGGAAAAGTCTCACATAGGATGGCAGGATCTTGTCCCTGTGCCTCTGACCTGTCCGAGTACATCTATCGAACACATGAAGATCGGTATGCTCTTTTGCCATGATGCCTGCCCAAACCATCTGACCATCTCTATCATAGTGGTCCTTTTCGATAATGTTAGAGGGCCGATATCGACTATCGGGTTTCCTCTCCAGACTGAATCGTGACTCATCACTGAAGAGAACCCACCCCCAATAATCCTTTGTCTAAGGCAGGTGTTCCATGCTAGACGGTCCTTTCTATAGGTCAGAGTCAAAAGGATGCAGATTACAGGGCATCTGGCATACAGTCCGTCTGCACTAAGTCTCTGGGAGACAGTTACCTGTGAAATAGATGTGCCTTTTGCAATTTACAGGCTGCGAGGCAGTTATGTTGATGTCGCGGACCTATTGCTTTTGGCTAAAAACCTCACATAACAGCCTTGAGCCCTCATTGTTTCCTTTTTACGGACTTGACCAGGTTGGTGGATTATTGTTCCAGTCTCTGTGAACTCCTTCCACACCACATTATGGAGACCACATTTCTCGAAACCCTACAAAAGGCAGTCTGTGATTTACCCACTTCGAGTCTTCTAATTATCTGCCATCTTGTGGCAACGTCTACGCGATGACGACTGGTCATACTAACGATAGGTAAATCAAAAGAAACAAGGATTGGGCTCAGCTAACATGCTTTCAAACGTCTCTACGCTACTAGCTTCGGCGAGAAAACGTGTATCATAAAAAAGTATATATTAATTCACATAGAAAAATTCACATAAGAATAATGCATTAAGTGTAAAAACATAATAAATATTTCATTTTAATAGACAGTTTGCAGATTAGTATCTATTCACTTTTTTTGATATTATGACTAACATCTTTCATCTTCTCACATTTATTAGGTCGGCGTAAAACTTAATATTGGGTGAATGTCAATATACAGACTTTAAAAAAATTATAACTCAGTTCAAGAAATTCTACGTGATGAATACTGACCATATTAAAGATGGGTAAACAGAAAATTCAAAGCGTTTTGTATCTTCAGTTTGATATTTTGTACTAAACGTGTGATAATACGAACTATAACTTTAAAACCAGTTACCGTATGAACGGAAATCGTTACCATATGAATGGTTTATATACCACATGTTTTGGTTTTATTACCAGAATAATGGTTTATTTTTTAGCAGAATTTTTCGCTCGTCTATTATTTAATCAACTTGGAGTCAAATAGATTTAAACAATATGGTTTTTTACGTGCACCGAATTTTAATATAGTGCATATAATAAAAAGTCATGAAGCTTTATTTATAGGAAGTTTCTTACTGAAATCCGTTACCATAGGATCGGAAAAATTACTTAATGAATGGTTAAAACCCTCTATTTTATTACCAAAATTAAACTTTTTTCCCCAGAAATGTCATTATCATACATTACGATAGATTTACCAGAATTTTTTCTCCTTGTGTAAGACAATGCAGCTTGATCCTAAGGGCACAAATTAGTTTTTGTAAACAAAACATCTATTCATACGTCTTTTTTTTCTCAGTCGAGTCACATGACATCATTTAATCGAATTGCTTATTAAACAGCACTCGGCAAATTGTTCCTTGCGTATTTCCACTTAAATCATAAGAAATCTGGCATTAAATTACATCACTACGTAACGGTTTAGATTTCTTTTAATGTCTGCTATCCTTGGAAGAAGCATAATTCGCCTCAAAGAAATAAGGAAGTCCCAATCGAGCAGAATGATGGGTGCCACTTAAGGTGTCAAGGCTGAGCATCTAACACCCACCTGTAATTGAAGATGAATGTCACTTTATGAACTCAGTAGCTTAAAGTTAGAATCGGAGTGTTCAACAAGTTCGCTCCTTTTGTCTTTAAGGTCAGCTGGTGAAAATAGCCTAAGCGTTCGAAAGGGTGTGTGGTAACTTAGATGGTTTGGGCGGGTTGACGTGTTTATAGTTATTAATAAAGTTTTCATTGTGTTGAATGAATTCTGTTGGTGCACAGAATCAGAGAGAGTTTATAAGTCTAGCGTCATCGATGATGGGAGCTTTATAAATATCAATCAATAAGTTTTCAATTTTATTTAAAAATTGCCTCTTTATGTTATTTATATAAGGGGTTCAGAAATGAAATGTATGGATATGATAAAATAGCGAGACATGTGCACATTGCGTCAAAAATGTAAAAATAAACAAATGAAATATTTTTAAAATATCTTTTCAATGATACTAAGTCCGATCTCCATCTTGATCTCTTGATACTGGGGCAATTCCGAGGGTTAAAGAGTAGTTTTAGGGGGGGGGGTGACTCTGTTATTAAGCAGGTTTTCATTCATATTAAACAACTCTTTTTTTTATTCATTTGATCTGACATCGAGATATTTCTATTGTAAATAATTTTCTAGCCATCTTAGCGATTTCAGTGCCACTTGTGAACCAAAATTCAAAAGCTGTACTTTAAATTGGGGTACATTTTTCTGGAAAATACAATTCTGGATTTAAAAAAATAGGAGTTAATATTTAGGTTTTTGAAATTACCTTCGAGCTCATGAGGAGATAAATGATCTTTGAAATCATTGAATGCATCTTTTGAAAATATTTTTTTTTCTTCGCATTTTTAGATTTGATATTTGACCTTTTCATAAATTTTGGGTACTCTTATATTTAAGTATTTCATGGTGAGAGTTTTTACGGGTGTGGGCTTCAAGCAGAAGTGTTTAAAGAGATTTACTCTAACGACTGGGTAAATTCCCCCTTTTCCTCCTATTGATGCTATATCCGTTGGTATGTAGTTCAGTGTCAAAGCTAAAGTAAAGTTAAAAGCAAATGAATTAATACTTATAAATAAAATTCTCCAATCCGCAAAACACCCATGAATATAAAAATGTATGATACATGTTTGCAATATTTGCAGAGTATAAAACTTTTTCAAAAATCTCACAAATCCCTTAGTTTACTTTCGCAGACGTGGAATTACCCATTATATTACAAACTATTACTAAAACCTACCCCCTTTACTGAAACATCTAAAAAACATTGCAAATCTCTTCACTTCTAAGACGCACATGTATTTTAGTGACATCTATTTATTAGACATCAAATTTATGAGTTATAGAGCTACTCTGATAATATTGTGTTCAGAATAATCATTGAACTTTGTCGCTCACAACAAACTTTACTATGAATGGATATGCTGCAAATATATACATTGCATATATTTACAACTTACTCTTTATGTTATTTTACACATTCACGAAGATTAAATTTCTGATCTAAGAAATTTAACGACATTATTATAATCTATTCAGAGCTCATGTAAATTTTTAATTTTAATATTAATAATATTTAAAATTTGTACAGTTTTTTTTCCTTATGACATATCACAAAAAATTTAAAGAATCCAATGAAATATCCCAAAAATGCTTTATTATTTTTTTACAAAATATCATAATTAAGAAAATGACGTTGTAAGCATTATGAAATAAATGTTTCTTGAAAACTAAAAATATTTTTTAAACATAAATGGGATTTTTTTAGTAGTGTAGCATGGTGAAGTGTGTACCGGTGTACTATGTTGGTCTCAGTGTTTTGTTTGTGTAGTAATTAACTAATCAAATTATATATGATTCGTAATTACGTTTTGCTTTTTCAGTTCCTCAATACGAAGTGGTGCATGTTCGTGCTGTATCTAAACGCAGTACAGCTAACAGTCAAGTACGGCGAGTGCATTTATCAGCATTTGGTCGTGATATGCATTTAAATTTACAAAGAAACGATGATTTTGATTCTCGTCTTAGATCTATGAAAATGTATTTGGCAGAAAGTACGAACAATGGAATCCAGTACAAAGAGATGCCCCCGGAAGTAAGTGAAGCGTTTTTTTTAAAAGTAATTTAAATATTTATTTCAAAGACGGAAAGATTATAAGTTAATTTTTGCTTACTTACTCTGATTACATATAAGAGTTTTCAGCAAAATCAATTTATGTAACAAATTCTAATTTGTTAATGCCATTTAAAAAGAAAGTTTCATTTATCTATTGCAAAGTAACAGCTAACATTTTATTATTTTTATTTTACAGGCAGCGTGGAACAGCGGTTCCATTTTGAGTTTACCGCTATCTATGTTCTTGCCGTGTTCTAACCGTTATCTGTGTTCTCCGTAGTTTTGTAAATTTGAACCCAAACCAAGACTAGGAAACTCCCAGCCCTGGTTACTGGGACAAACCAACCGTGGAGGACCTTTTGATGCAATTAATACTTATTTGCGTTACACGGAGATGTAAAGTGCGAAAACCTCTTATAGTTAGTCTGATGTCTAGGGGATTCTAACCCATGATCTGTCTATCACTATGGACATTTTTACGTCAGCATTGTTGCTGGTGCGAGCCATTAGCAGTATTCAAATCAGCCAGGATTTGAACTAGAGTCTAGCGCTATATTCCCCTAGTCATTTTGGTCCCCTCAGTTGACATAGAGGGTATTCTAGACCCACTGTCTTCAATTTTTCATTCTCTACTGATTACCAAGCAGAAAATATTTCATCCCGTCTGCCACTAATCTAATTTTTAAGGAGAGAGAAAGTTTTCGAACTGATTAGAGCTGGCTCTTAAATGCCCCCCTTCAAAATAAAATTGGCTCATGTTGGCAAATTTTAAGAGTTGTACACTGAGAAAAAAAGTATGGTTAAAACTACCAAAATATGGTGAGATTCGCTGTGTTTTTAGCTCGATGGTAACACAAAAATGCTTGGCAATTTTTACCGAATGCTTTGGTAATGATTTTGGTAAAATTAACATATTTAATGACTTCGGTAAAATTAACATAATGATTTTGGTAAAATTAACATAAAGTTTAGTAAATGTGATAAAATTTGGTAATTTTATCAAGATCTAATTCTTAGAGCATGGTATAAAACAGATTTGTTTGGTTAAATTGACTACTCAGATATGTAATTTTTACTAAATGTGTGGTAATAACAACTATAATTTTGAAAACTTGAATTTCCGGTAAACCGTTGCAATATAAAAGGAATCACATCGATGGTTTAAATACCGTATATTTTGATTTTATTAACAAAAATTATGTTTTTTTTACTAGAAATGCCATTACTATACAGTGCTGTAATTTTAAAAGATGGTTTTTCTCTGTGTACTGATGAAAAAGATATTCAAGTTTGCAAGTTTTCAAACAAACATATTGAAAAAAAGAACATTTTTAAACAGGATAATCAAATATGCAGAAGAAAAATAAGATTACGATAGTTATAAATTAAATTTACTTAATAATAACAAGAAAGGTAAAAATATTTTCTCTAATATTTTATTTACAACTTCACATCAATGGGAAAACATGAAATTTCATTGCATTACCGAAACGAATTCCCTCATTCCTTAACTGTTCCTTTGTGGACATCAGAAAGTTTTTCGTGGACCAACATATAAAAAAACTAGTTTAAGTTAACTAGTTAAGGACTAGTTTAAGCAACATTTTACTAGTTTAGGTTTCATTTTTTTCGATTATAGTTGGGTAACATCTCTTAAAAAGGGCAACAATTTAAGTGACACTGTACCTGCCTTAATCATGTTCCGCTCTTAAGTCATGGAGGAAGCTGCGTTTCTTAAATATGCAGTATATACTCTCCCTATCTCAAAGTTGAAGGAATGCTAAAAAAATTTCGAGATTGCGAGCTTTCGCGATAACATGTTAAGAACTAAATATGTTCCAAAAAATAGAAAATATGTTCGAAAATACTACTCTAAAATGTAGAGTGATGAAGCATAAAAGTAACTACTATTAAATATGCATGTAATGATAGTTAACCATAAGTCAAAATACAACAATTTTAGCTTTATTTTTAAAAGTAAGACAAAAAAAATTATCCATTAAATAGAAAAGAATTTGTTTTACAATGAACTTGCTTTGTGATTTTTCCGAACGAATTTAATTTTTGCTTCGAAAAAAATTCGACATAACAAGGTTTTGAGAAGGAACTCTTCGACATATGAATTCAAATTAACATTAGGTGGATATATAATGCCAAGGGGAAAATATTTTATTGACATACCAAGATATCGATATATCGAGGTTCGATATATCGAGAGCGTACTGTAAAAAGTAGTATTGGTGCCTTAATCAATCGTTTCATTCAGTCAGTTATTTAATATTTTGAAATCCAACTCTAAGAATTCAAAATAAGCAACCTTTAAGAAGCTACAAGATTTTCATTGTTCGGGAAATTCCAGCTAATTCAGAGATGATGAATTCGTTTTTCTATTTTCGTGTTAAAAAAATATGTCTATTATTTTAAGTACGATTTGATAAACGATAAAACATAAATTTGATTTAATACCTTGTTAAATAATTCCATAACTGATTATGTAAATACTACCATTTAGCAACACTCGTGATGGTTGATAAAAGAAATCAAGTTTTTTCTTCATTCCCTCAGGGTTATCTGATTTGTTTTGTTTCTGATATTCGTTTTTGTAATCGAAAAATGTGAGAAAAACAGACAATTAATTATATCTTCAATTTGTTGAAATCCATGAACCAAAACGAGCCTAATGTAAGTCATAGCAAAATTAATTTTCATGCACCGTATAAAAAGAAACAAATTATCGTCGTGTTATCGTAGTGATGAAAAAATAATTGTTCATGAAAAAAAAAATGTTCAAAAACATGCGTGATTGCGCAATGTATTGTTATCTGTGAAAAATTAATGGATGGAATTCTGAGTGAATAATATTAGCTGTTAGTTTTAAAAAAGTAGCATAAACAATAGAAATATTGGTATTTTTATTTAGAAAATTGGTAGAGTAATAAGGTATTGGTAACATTATTCTTATTAACGTTTGTAAGATTGATAGGATTTTGATTACATTAATCTTACTGAATAAAAGTATTTTGGAAACAAAAGCATTATTAAGACTTTGAAAGATTAAATTAAAAACATAATCTATTAATTTGGGGTGAGAGAATTATCGACCATATCAACCTCCATCCATCAAAATGGACTTCAAGAAAGAATTCAATTATCACGTCTTATATACTAGTCAATTAGGATTGTATTATTGTAGTGGTAGTTATACTATATTGCCTCCCAACAGAATTTCATGTAGGATAAAATACGATGAATGGATATTACTAAATGATTCCAGAGAGCTGTATTAAGTTTACCGGATTTTTAAGTGCATGTTGTGAGAGTTATATTAAGTTCACTGCTGTGTTCGTAGTCTCTCTTGTGTTGATATTAGCAGTCGAGTGTGTAAAACCTCCAGTGGTGTGTGATCGAGATTGAGTAGCAACAGTGCGAGGACAACAACAATCACGAACAGCAGGTCAACTGTTCAGTGTGCATCCTCCATCGAAAAGGCATCGAAGTTGGTGAAGTGGCCAGTGAATTGGGATTATATTATTGTAATGGTAGTTACACTACAATTTAATTAAATTAAATTATAGAATTTTTTTTGCAAGAAAAGGTAGAATATTTTTATAAAAGTTATCTACTGCAAACTACTATCAGCCAATAATTTATTATCAAAGTTCATAATTTTATTTTATAGAAGCCAAGTTTTCATTAGAATAAATATTTCTGCATAAAAAAAGAAAATAATTCAGTAATATATATATATATATAAACATACATAACACAAGAAGAACAAAAAAGATAGGATGAAAAAAGAGAAAAAAAACGAAGAAATTTAAGAAAATTAATCATAAATATTTTTTTTTTGAAATAAATGTTAAATTTCTGAAATCATTAAAATTGTATAATAAATATCAACCTTATTAATTATAAACTTAATTTTATTATCCAGCATAATACTATTACTTTGGGCACATCCATTTTCGGGCCAATCCTTGGTAACTAACAAATCAAACGCGCTTCAATACTGTAGTAGGAACGTGGCATCTATTTACGTTTCTAACTCTAGTTGCGCTTTCGTTTACACATTTTGAAATTTAGTAATCTTAAATCGAAAATATTTTAAATCATTCTTGAAAGATTCCGGTACGAGTAAGTTCATTTGAATTCGCTACTCACTTTATAGATTTCATTTTGTGCTTTGTTCTATATTTTATTCTATTTTCGTTTCAATCTTTTAGAGTGCTCCTCACACTATTGTATTGATACAATATTAGAAAGCACTCTTTTTTGCGGATATAATTGTGTGAGCTCATGAAGAGATTCTCTCTATTAACTATTTTATTTTCCGACTTTTAAATATATATATTTTTTTTAATATTTTTTTAAAGTTTATTGTTATTGTTCTTAAGTTTACAGTTATTGTTCCTAAGCAACTCTGTTTTCTATATTGCATCTCAACTTGAGGGAATTCTTTTCGTTACCTTTCATTTTTATGATGATTTTCGAGTTTCTTTTTAATACAGTTCTTGATAAACAACTTCTTGTTTCTTGATAAATTATTATCTAGAGACTGATTAGGAACTTTTTTTTTTCAATTTTGAAAAGAAATTCTTTAAACTAAAAATGAAATTCTTTTAATTACGATAAATAGACAAATTGAAAAGTGGAATGGTAATTTAATAGATTTATAAATAATACTTTTCTCTGTGTTTTTGACACAAATAATGAAGCAGAAGAAAAAAATAAAACTCTTAAGCGATAAAGTTGTTTATTGTTAGCTTTGAATTGTAACGGTTTACTGGTAATTCTGGTTTTTATAATCATAGTTCTTATTACCATACATTTAGTAAAAAAATACAAAGTTGCAAAATAAATTTAACCAAATAAATGGGTTTTATGTCCTTCTTTAATGTATCATAATAGATTGATCAAATTTTATCACATTTACCAAATTTAATCATATATTGTAAAACAATATTTTATTGCTGATTTTACCAAAATCATTACGAAAGCACTTCAGTAAAAATTACCGAGCTTTTTGGTGTTCCCATAGAGCTAGAAACATGGTAAATTTTATGATATTCTGGTAGTTTTGACCAGACATCTTTCTCAATGTGATAAGTAAGATAAGTTTTTTCTCAGCGTTATAAGTAAGATAAGTGTTTTCTCAGTGTTTAAAATAAGTAAAATTTTTTCCCTTTTATTTCTATTAGGATGATGATCCTGGTACTACTTATCACGATTTAGATCAAATGGCTGCAGTAACTATTCGCCATGGAAACGACGGAAAACTACAGATGGTATTGTATATGCTTACCTCATTTAACGAATTAAAATAGAGTAATTAAATTTATACTTTAGCAACACTAATACTCTTATATTAAAATTGTTAAATTCCTGTTATTTAATCGGAATTTGAAATCATGGAAATAAAAGTCAATTTAAGATATTTTTAATTTCATTTGCACGTTTATCTTTAAGATTAGCTAGAAAGCGTAATTCGAATCCTTTGAATTAATAATCTTTAATTAGAAGTTTTTACTTCGTCACTAAGAACTACGATGGCTTTTCTTCGTGAATACATTAAATTAAATCTCACTCATATAATGTAGTGCAAAAAATATCGAAAACACTTTAACACAGATGTATTTGAACCATTTTTTTGGCTCTTAGTCCTGTATGTCCTATCCATAATAAGCAAAGGTTAACTATTATTCAATAAATAATAGCTTTTTAATTTGCATTAAAAAACCTTATAAATTATTTTTTTTATATTTTGGGCTGGATATTGGAGGATTTATATACAAGCTCTGATTCTAAAATAATGAATCAAAATCACAAAAAATCACGTAGAATTTAATAAATTTTTATAGTATATTGTGCCGGATTTTCGCATAAAATTTCTAAATAGAGAAAGGCCAAACAAGCAATATCTTATAAGAATTTTAGTTGACATATATTAATAAATATGTCATATTTTCTACAAATTTGAAACCTAGTCTAAGGTTATTTATTAGTTATTATAATAATGATATCAAAACTTGCTGAATTTAGTTTTGATGAAGAAAATATGATTTGATAAGAGACTGAATATAAAACAAAATTAGTTTTATATTCATTCAAAATTTGTTATTATAAAGTTATCTTAGAAATCATGAAATGCTGAATGGCACAAGAACTTTTGTGTTTTAAATACTTTATTGTAGCTTCAAATAAAACATTTTGTGATTCGCTAATACTTGACTCAAAATATAAATTAAAAACTTGCAATGATGGACACAGAAATTCCGCTTTTGTGCTGTAGGAAATCTAGTGTTTCGAATCGTGTTATTAATTTAAATAATCGGGATTCAAATTTAGATAGAACGCTTCGTCATGGTTTGAGAATATGATATGAAGTTGTCAATTTATAAGTAGATGATGAGCTTTTTGTGAAGAGGTTTCAAATTTACATGTGGCTTTTCCCACAATATTATTATAACGTTATAAATTCATTTTTAGTCCAATACAGGGATGGGCAAACTTTTTTGATCGAGGACGAAAAATCGAGAATAAAATGTTTGGTGGGCCAAGTAAAAAACTTCAAAATTAAAAAAAGAAAAGAAAAAAAGAAGCGATATACAAGTTTTAATTTAAATATTTAGTGAGATGAATGAAATTGCGATTTCATTTCTAAAAGTTCCTTATAGTGAGGTTCGAAGCGAGATGTGCTTATTTTAAGGAATGAGGCTAAGTGCTTGTCTGTTAGTCTACTTCTGAAATTATTTTTTCTAAGGTTCATAGTTGAAAACTCTTGTTCACATATATAAGATAATCACATATATAAGCACTGATTTTCTGGGCATGAAATATTAGATTTTGGAAACTAGCTTTCGGTAATGATTTGTAAAACTCAAACTTTGGCATATTTAGACACAACTGCTTCAGATGATTGTTAGATTGTCCGCACGTTGGAGCTTAAAATGAGCAGTCTGCAACATGTGAAGTACAATTCACCTATATCAGATTCCATAAGTCTGCTCCTCGAGAAAGACAAACGCTAGTTGGAGCCAATCTACGGCTATTCTATAAAGAACTTCTGCTTTCAACATTTTACTAAATTGAAGCTGCCTGTGCTAACTATTTCCATCAATTTATGTTTTGTAGAACAAAAATAGAGAAAGTGAAAAGGTTATCAGTAGTTTGCTAAAAAAGAAGGAACAGAAATAGCTTTAAACAAAGTCGACTGGAAACTTGATGCATATTGTTTATATTTGCCACGGATCGGTAAGCTGAAATTCTATCCGTTGGCCGGATAAAACCTTCCGGCGGGCTACAGTTGGCCCGCGGGCCGTAGTTTGCCAATCCCTGGTCTAATAAGTAGATTACAGAATAATATTTCGCATTACAGAGCATTAAAACAATTAAAACGTATTTGAAAAGCAGAAAAGGAACATTTTTTCTTTTTAGAGAAGAAGCAAAAATATTTTTGGAACATTTTGAAATGATTTTTTTACATTACAAAAATGATATGCTGGCTATGTGTCTTTGATTGTTTGTTCTCTGTGCGTGACAATAATTTTTAATGAATACCCAGGAACTTTTTTTCCTGTTTCATTAGTACGGAATCTATATTATTTGTAAGTTACAGTCAAATAACTTTATTACCAGAGAAATTCAGAGATTTTCAGGGTGATATCCGTATAAAATGATGAAAACTAATATTGTTCATCTGGTTTTAATATATTAACACTTCAACAACTCACTAAATTTCTAAATAGACAAATACTGAATAAGTAATATTTCAAGTGAAATTTTGCTGATATATATTGTTAAATTTATAATATTTTTCTATAACTCTGAACATAATGTGAGGTTATTTATAAGCTTTAACAAATCACTAAATTTCTAACACGACAAAATCCAAGCAATCAATCTTTCATAGGAATTTTTGTTGACACACAATGAAAAATTTATCATATTTTTCTATCAATCGAAAAATAGTCTAAGGAATATATTTAAAGTATTTTATTATTTTTATTTTAAACTTAAAACTTTATTGGATTTTACTTTATATAAAACAAATGCATTAAAATTTTATGATTTGGTGTATTCCTTCATGACTTCCTTTGAAAAATAATAGAATCTCATTAAACCAACAATTTCGTGACTTTATTTGATTTTTAAGAGTTTCGTACGATTAATTGTTAAGTTACTTCGGAAAATAAAAACTAAACTTTCCTGGATATCTGAGATTTATTTTTGAATTTCATAAATAAACTGATAATCTAAATGCTTCCTTGAACTGAGTTCGGGGTCAACGACTAATGAAACTTTTTTCTTCAAAACTTTTTAAAACTTATGTTAATTAATATAAAATCGTAAAGATGATCATACGTTGAACGCCGAAGTTGATAAAACAAATATTGACATTTACAGCAATTTTAAGAAGCTAATATGAATTTATTGGAAAAAAATCTGCCTATATATACGGGACATTTTTGAGTAGGCGAATTTTAATGTTTTATCAAGTGAACTATACACATTGTGTTCAACATTCCAGACAATAAAAACAACCCACCATTGCTGTGGGCTGTTATAATGTCACGCTTTCCCGCATACATCCATAAAATTTTAATATATGCAATATTTTATGTGCAAAAAAAAGTACATATTTTTGTAAATATAAATATCTGACATTATAATTTTTAATGTGCTATTTTTACTAGCATCCCTGCTGTTAAGTTAAGCATGGGAAAAATACAGAAGACTGTGAATAACATATAATATGAAATATCAGACTACTTTGTTCTGAATAAGGGAAAGAAAACATGTTTAATAAATAATTACAATAAACATTGACATTACCAAGTGACGTAACCGGAGAAACAGGTAGAGTTTAAAACAAACTCTTAGATTCACCGTTTGAATTTCGCACATGTGCAGTGGGTAAAATAATAAAAAAGTGGAAGTATTTAAAAAGTTTTTATTTAATTATCGTACTATAATAGTAGGATCTTAAAATTACCTTAAAAATGCTAATTAGTTACACTGAGAGAAGTTCTGGATTAAATTACGATAAAAGATACTGGCCCTCTGAGTGCAGCATTCGTTAACTCCGTTTTATTGTAAAATCCATTTTCACCTTAAAAATTTTAACCGTAATTTTTACATTAATATTCATTTATTTAAAGTGATTAGGTGATTTCACAGAAAGTATTAGTGTAAAAATTACGATACACCATAGTTTTTTTGTTCTGTGAAATTATACGGAAAAAATGGATTTTATAGAAAAAAGTACTTGTACTTTTTACCGTCATTTTATTCGGGATTTTTACAGTGAAATCAGACTCAGAAAAGCAGTTTCTAAGAATAAAGATACCTTTTCTTCGAGAGATTTTGATGATTGATCTTTAAAATATGAAAAATAGTAGCAGTATTTCAAAAAATATGTTCCCTTTAGATTAGGTAGGAGTGTGGTTGTAAGTTTGGACCCTTAAAGGTTAATTTGAGTTTTTGAATATGTTACTTCATTTCAATTGAGCATGATCTAATGACTTTTGAACGCAATTGTTTATCCAAAGATAATTCAATTCAATGTAAAACTAAAGTTTCATATTAAATTATTATTTTCTTGTAATTTTGATCGAGAAATTTACTAAATACACTTAAACTTTATAATTTTAGGAAGGTACTATTGGCAATGATCTTGTTGTTAAACCTGTGCCAACAGCTATCCTAGTGCCCGAGGATGGTTTTGTTGATGATGAGATGTTTTTAGATGAAGATGAAAGCTACGAACGGAGTAGGAATAACACTATTGCGGGATCGACTCTAAGATCTTCTCCATCTTCCCGAAGAAATCTTCCCAATTCCAGAGGAGGTGCTCACGTTGTTTATAGAGGGCCAACAGCTTCAAATGATTCACACAGTGATTTTTGTAAGTTGTGATAAAGTTTTCATTGAAGTGAAACTTCTAATGCGACTTCCAACAAGGTTGCGTTAAACGTTTAACGCTACCATGGCAACGAGCGGACTGTGATCCTTGCAGGAGATTTCAATGTGAATTTCTCGTTACCTGAAACATTATTAACCTTCCTTAAAGAAAGCTTTTGAATTGGAAATGATAAATGGTAGGATTGATCCAACGGGGGGAACTATCATTGATGCAGTTTTTGCAAGAAATATTGAAAAAATGGAACTCAAACACTTCGTATCTTACTTTAGTTATCATAATCCCATTGTAAATGTTATAGATTTGGATATTTCTCCACTCGAAAATGATAATTAAAAGTTGCGATCAATTGTGAATTGTAGGCAGTGTTAATAAAGTTTGTCTTAAAGAAGCAATATGATTTCACTAAAAATCAATTTCTACCCCTTCCTATTTTCATTTCCACGTTACGAATTTTCACTTCTATTTTTTTTTTTTTTTTTTGTAATGATTTTTAGACGAGCTGTTTATTAATTTTAGTATGATTATTAGGGGTTTATGTTACAAAGTTGTTCTCGAGTCATTCAATTAAATAAAATATTTTTTTTCTTTTTTAATATTCTATTGCTCCTACGCACAATGGGACAGAATTTCGGAAAACCAGTCAAAATTGGAAGATCAGCTTCAATTGACTTGAAGCCGAGTACCTTTTTGCATGTTATTTGTTTGTCTGCTTTAAGTACATTATTTGTGCGTGCGCTACAATGAAATTGTCTGATTGTAAATGCATTTTTTGCTTGTATACCATTACAAATAATTTTGTATCACACATAGTTTAATTTTGATAGTTATTTTTGACACTTAATAATGCATTTCAAAATTATGCGAAACTTTTGTCTTTTTCAAACAAACCAGAACGTTTTTAAGCAGAAAAATATTTTTTAATAATATACCTTTAGATTTATGACCTCTAATACCAATATTCAAAATGTTCAAAATGCTTTTAAATGCTTGTTATTCAAAATGCTTTTTAAAATTGATTCTACTTGGTAAATTTTAATACTTTTCAATATTCAAATCAGTACCTCTAGATTCAGTTCAAGGTACTTACAATTGGGAAGCAGCAAGAACACGTCCAAGAGCCAACATGGGTAGAAGAAATAAAAGAGCTCTAGCTCCCTCTTCGGTGTGGCCAGAAATTTTACTATTAGTTGATTATGGGAGTTTTGTTCTTCACGGTTTAAGCAGTCGTCACATCAAGCGGTATTTTGTCAGTTTCTGGAATGGGGTGAGTACAATCATATTTATTATATCGATGAATTATTTTTGAAGTAGTCAAGTTTCAGCAGTCCCTGCATATAATGTTGTAAGAAAGTTCAACCAAACGAGCAACAGGGTGTGATTATAAGAGAGCCAAAATTTGCTGATAAGAACTGAAACAAAAATTTTCACGTAGACTTAATATGGCATCTTCAGCTATGTAGACTTTTGACAAGATACCATTCTCCATAACCGTAACCCTATATTTCAAGTACCATAAGTAACCGAGCTAAGTAACAATATATTTTATGAAATCGCTTTTGGAAGCTTTGGCAGCTAAATAACCGGTTCTTTTATGAAGATCTAATATTTAAGCTAAGCTAATATTTTCCGAATAAGCAGTTAATTTTAGTATAAAATGTTATTTTCTTATTAAGTTATTTCAAGACAAAAATTCTGAAAACGAACTAAAATAAGTTATATTTGTATGTTTTCAGAATTGAATCAGTTAAAATAGTTATATTTTTATGTTCTTAGAATTGAATCAGTTAATGGATTATTTTTGCCTTTTTTGCATAGTTAGCGTGCTTTTCGGTTGGTTAAGAAGCAAAATTAACCGTAGTTTAATACTGTTAAGATAATTTTAATGTTGATAAAATGAGATTAAGATAATTTTAATGCTGATAATATATTTGAGAAAAATTACGTAAAATGAGGACTGACTGCAATATCTCTTGCTTTGGGACAATTTTGAAACTGCCAGTCCTAACTCTCTAATTGACACATAGGGACTCTTAAATTTGAGAAGCATCTATTAATTTATACTATTGAAAAATATAAGAATGAAAGTTTTTAAAACAGGATAATTATCAAGCTAAGCTACAAGCAAGATGGATAAACAAAATTGATCTTTTTTTATCGGAAAAAGAGATTGCATTATGATTCTCAAATAGTTAGTTAAGTGGTGTAAGTATTCAAAGCTGAAGATGTAGTTATCTAAAGTTTTTGAATAAAGTATACCGAATTTTATTTAATTTTTTTTCTTCAAACTAACATTGTATTCTGTCAGGTTGTAACGGAGTTACCACTTGAGTGCCTGGTTTTACCTCATAACGTCTGCATATTAAACAGTTTTTCAAAACCTTTTTAACAAATTGTTTACCTTTGATTATCTAATACTGTCCTCTTAAGTGAGTTAAAGTAGAATCTACACCTAAATGACCCATTTTAACTTCGACTTTGATTACCATAGGATATATTTTTTTAAGCGTCAATCTTATTTATTTATGTGCATTAGGCAGCAATTTTATGTCCTTTCATAAGTATTTAATGATATTTCAGATCACGGCATGATGCAAAGTACGATACATGCATGCTAATTAACTAATACAAATGTATCACGTAAATAGAAAATGTCACACAGTTTCTGAAAATGCCTTTTTTGAAATAATGGAATGACTCTTTAACAAAAACATAATCATTAAATTGTGAGTAAATTAAAACAGGATATGTTAAAACATGCGCATAAATATTAAGTACTCAGCACTAACATAATTGCATTCATCTGAAGTTAAAAAAATTATATGATGTTTTTTAATTTTATAGTGCATTACTGATACAGAGTGTTTTTTCTGACTACACTTAATATTTATAAAAATGATCTTTCGCAAAAATATTAAAGAAGCACGCATATTATTAGCGCAAAGCAATATTTATGCAAAAAAAAGATGCTGTCAAAATTACAAGTGAGGAAGACGGAACTAATAACATCAAATACTAAATGATCAGCAGAGAAAATTAAAAAAAAATTGAAAAGCCCTAAGTTTAAGCAAACAGTCTGCCTTCCTCACTAGCAATTAGATAAATTTCGATAACATTTTTGTTAATGTTTTTTTGTAAGACTTAATGTTCGAGAAGGTTTCTAAAAATATGTACTAAGAGTGATCAATCCGAATCAAGGAACGTCTGACTTATTGTCTATTCCCATACGGCCAACTTTCAAACTTTATTAAACTTATAATTATTAGAATTAAATTTATAAATATTATCAATTTTTAAGTTTATAAACTATCCGAACTTTAACTGAGGTAATTTTTTAATGTAGTTTAGATCTGTTTTGAAACCATTTTTCGCTGCTCTCAACATCATTCAGAGTATGTATGAAACGCTGTAATGACGAGTAAATATAATCAATATTGTCAATAAAGTATAAGGCATAAAAATAATTGAGGAAATGCAATTATTTCATACCACAAATCCGCAATTATTTTATTCCGAAAAAATAATTTCGTTAAAGGCATGAAATTTTTTAAAAGTAAAGGTTACAAATTTCTAAAATACATATTTGTTTGATTTTTAATTGTAAGATTCTGAGTTGTAAGTCTTTTGTGTTTTCCCAGGTAGATTTGAGGTACAAGGCTTTATCAAGTCCACAAATTAGAATAAGTTTAGCTGGAATTATTGTTGCGAAGGTAAGTTATATTCACTGCTGTTTGGTTTTACGTTTAATAAGACTTCCATGTCACACTTATTTTTTATTTAAAACGTATAATAGTGTGTGATTTATTAATAAATAATAAAGGACTAGTTTCAAAGTTTTCAAAATTTTCAGAGGAAAGACTAAAAATGATGTTAAAAGTAATTTATGCAAAATATTAGTCTTTTGCCGAATAAAACACATAGAAATATTTAAAGATTAAAATTCAATTAAAAAATTAAAAACCTATTATACTTAGATTAAAATATTAAATATTATGCATGTATTGAGAATGCATCTTGATTTCAATCTAATTAAAAAATAATACATGTCTATAAACAAGAAAAAAAAGGGGGGGGAAGCTCTATAGCCTATTTGCTCTTAAAACGAAAGAATATATAAAAAAGAATATTATGATATTCATGTGCATTTAATGTTTCGATCGCGATATTCATGGTATGTTATTATCCGTTTGATAATTTTACGAGGTTATCAAACTCACATGATTTACATATAACTAGGAGGCTCCGCCCCCTACTCGCTAACGCTCGCCTACCCCCGAGAATTGCTACGCAATCCTATGTGGTTCACGCCGTAAACCAGGGCTCGCTGCGCTCGCTCGCCAATGAACACAATGTTCTAGCACAAAGACATAATATATTATCATCAAAGACATAGTATTTTATCATCAAAGACATAGTATTGTACTTATGTAGAAGAATTCTACCAATGTTCTTATCTTCTTCAGAAAAAGTATATTAGCTATTTAGATTGTACATGGTGAAAAAATCTAAGCATTAGCTAAAAAAGAAACATATTAGCAAAATAAATTATCAAATATTGCTTCACTAATATTCTGCATTTTAAAGCGTGAAAATTCAATGTTTAAATAATAGCGAAACATAAAAAAATTCAATGCATTCAATACAAACACTTAAACGTTTTTTAGACGCTAAGGTAGCTCCCAGTAGAAAAATATCAATTCAACAGCGGCCTTTTAAAGCATTCTCACTTCAATTTGTTAATTAATTCCTAATTGGGTATAATATAGCCTACGTCACAGGTTGTGTTGTTCCTTCTGAATTGAACAACCTGATAATGCTCACTCTGGTTATTGTTATCTGGTTGCTCACTACGTGCTCTTGCGCGCCGAATCCAATCAATTAAAAATGAAAACTGTTGCCAGCGCGAGAAAAGAAATATCATCGGTTTTACAACTTATCGTTTNTTTAAATTAAATATGTCATGTTTTTAGTGCATGAATCTGAATTGAACAACCTGATAATGCTCACTCTGGTTTATTGTTATCTGGTTGCTCACTACGTGCTCTTGCGCACCGAATCCAATCAATTAAAAATGAAAACTGTTGCCAGCGCGAGAAAAGAAATATCATCGGTTTTATTGATACATTCATACATACGTACGTATTAGCGTTTTATTTAATATAGATAGATGGCATAAATCAGTAAGTTAATTTATTACATCATAGTCGGCAACTAAAACATTCTAAATGAAATGACACCTTTATTTAGGGTACTTTTGTCAGTTAATTCTAATTACACCTCTAACTCTTCGAAGCAAAAACAAAAATACTTTTAATACAAAAATAATTTAGGAATGAAAGGAAATTTAATCTATTTTTACTAATTTGATTTGCATATTAAATATATCAGTTATTTCCTCTACGTAGATAAATTTAGTTGTGGCTTGCATGCTACTAATTCAATGAAACGTGAGTTATTTATTGCACTTAAGTTTTCATTTGCACAGTGAATAAATTAAAAACCTGGTAAAAAGCTATAGTTTGCATATAACACGTCAATCAAGCATAGTACTTATAAATTTTAAATGTATTATAACATTAAAAAACAAAATCAAACATTCAAAAAATTATACAAAGTAGTAAGTTTGTTTTAATTTAAATGTTAGTAGCTTCATGCACTTCAAAAATTGCGGTGAAAAGGGCATTTTTACTGGTACATGTTACGGAACAAAAAATTTGATATATCGTAATTTTTAGGTATGATGTTTTACGTAAAAAATGCATTTTAAGGATGATGCACCCAGAGTGCCGGTACTTTAAACGGAAATTTGATTAAGATTTCTTACAGTGTAGTTGTTTTAAGATTTAAAGGTGCTTTTTTGAGCCGTAAATCACTCTTGGGCTGTAAATCCTTATTCTTAATTCTCACGATTTTTTTTTTACAGAAGTAAGTGAAAAAGGAATTGGGGAGTAAATGAGGAAGGGAATTGGGGAGTAAATGAGGATTGCGAAAGACTTGTATTCGATCCTTAGTGGCAGCTAGAAGCGGCAGAAATTTGATTAAGATTTTTCACAGTCTAGTTGTTTTAAGATTTAAAGATGCTTTTTTGTGCTGTAAATCACTCTTGGGCTGTAAATCCTTATTCTTAATTCTCACGATTTTTTTTTACTGAAGTAAGTGAAAAAAGGAATTGGGGAGTAAATGAGGAAGGGAATTGGGGAGTAAATGAGGATTGCGAAAGACTTGTATTCGATCCTTAGTGGCAGCTAGAAGCGCAGAAATTTGATTAAGATTTTTCAGTCTAGCTGTTTTAAGATTTAAAGGTGCTTTTGTGCGCCGTAAATCACTCTTGGGCTGTAAATCCTTATTCTTAATTCTCACGATTTTTTTTTACAGAAGTAAGTGAAAAAGGAATTGGGAAGTAAATGAGGAAGGGAATTGGGGAGTAAATGAGGATTGCGAAAGACTTGTATTCGATCCTTAGTGGCAGCTAGAAGCGGCAGAAATTTGATTAAGATTTTTCACAGTTTTAAGATTTAAAGATGCTTTTTTGTGCTGTAAATCACCCTTGAGCTGTAAATCCTTATTCTTAATTCTCACGAATTTTTTCTACAGAAGTAAATAAGGAAGGGAAGTGGGGAGTAAATGAGGAAGGGAATTGGGGAGTAAATGAGGATTGTGAAAGATCCTCAGTGGCGGCTAGAACACCCCCCCCCACCAGTTTCAGATCAATGGTTAGGGGAGAAAAGGCGCAATGCTGACCACATTGCCACAATCATGCCATTAATCACGAAATTGTGCAGCTTTAACCTCCATGAACTCCCCCCCCCCCGGTTCACTCCGGGCTATTGAGGGAATGTTTTGATTCAATTTGAAATTAAAATGCGTAATAATATTAATAAGTTGTTCTTCTTCTTATTTATTCTATTACAGAGCAAAGATGCCACACCCTATTTGGAACGAAACCGATTGCCGAGTCCCAATCGTGATGCTATTGATGCTGCCGCAGCCTTAACAGATATGGGAAAATATTTATACCAAGAAAATAGGCTGCCTGCTTATGACATGGCAGTTGTTATGACAAAATTAGACATGTGTAGAAAGCAGTTCGGTGGAGGTAGATGCAGTAGGGGCACAGCAGGTAAGAATGTTTTCTAGTTCTTCATGTTTTCCAGTTCTTAATACTTCCAGTTAATTAATAGTTCTTAATACATTCTCTTCTTTAATCCTATATGGCACATGTAGCTTTTAGCATGAGTAGTAACATATCTCTACTCTATATAAATGAACATGGATAGTTCGAAATGCTACAAAATATCACTTAATGTTAATTTTCCATTGATAAAAAATTTTAAATTTTATCTACAGCTCCGACATTTGTCCAATTTTTTTGGTTCATTAAAAATTTGATGCGACACTTCAAAATTTTATCCCTTTATATTTTTGAAGATGCGAATGAAGAATTAACATAAAGCATTTTTATGGTCGACGACTCGTCTTTAACATCTTCCGTAAACAGGGCAAAAAATTAGCTTCATTTTGCTAGATGCTAGTAGAATGCTTAGCAAAGCATGGAAGCAAGTCAATACCAATTACAATACAATTCCTAACTCTTTTTGTAAGGCAAAAGTTTTCTTCAAAGATCTCCGGTATTAGACAAATCAGATCAATTTTTTTTCAGAATAATTGACGGAAGTTTCTTCTGGAATCGATGACGATGAATACGTTCACTTGATAATGAGATTACTTTTTTTGATGGAACAAAAGCCGACTACATCATACAAGAAGTAGCTTAAAAAAACAGGATATTTCAGAATGATGGAGGCTTCTTCTAGATTTGATGATGATGAATATGTTCAATTGATAATGAGATCATTTTTTTTTTGATGGAACAACCACCGACGACATCGTACAAGAAGTAACTTAAAAAGAAGGATATTTCAGAATGATGGTGGTTTCTTCTAGAATTGATGATGACGAATATGTTCAATTGATAATAAGATCACTGTTTTTGATGGAACAAAAGCCGACTACATCATACAAGAAATAGCTTAAAAAAACAGGATATTTCAGAATAATGGAGGCTTCTTCTAGATTTGATGATGATGGATATGTTAAATTGATAATGAGATCATTTTTTTTATGGAACAACCACCGACGACATCGTACAAGAAGTAACTTAAAAAGAAGGATATTTCAGAATGATGCTGGTTTCTTCTAGAATTGATGATGACGAATATGTTCAATTGATAATGAGATCACTGTTTTTGATGGAACAAAAGCCGACTACATCATACAAGAAGTAGCTTAAAAAAACAGGATATTTCAGAGTGATGGAGGCTTCTTCTCGATTTGATGATGATGAATATGTTCAATTGATAATGAGATCATTTTTTTTGATGGAACAACCACCGACGACATCGTACAAGAAGTAACTTAAAAAGAAGGATATTTCAGAATGATGGTGGTTTCTTCTAGAATTGATGATGACGAATATGTTCAATTGATAATGAGATCACTGTTTTTGATGGAACAGAAGCCGACTACATCATACAAGAAATAGCTTAAAAAAACAGGATATTTCAGAATGATGGAGGTTTCTTCTAGATTTGATGATGATGAATATGTTCAATTGATAATGGGATCATTTTTTTTTGATGGAACAACCACCGACGACATCGTACAAGAAGTAACTTAAAAAGCAGGATATTTCAGAATGATGGTGGTTTCTTCTAGAATTGATGATGACGAATAAGTTCAATTAAAAATGAGATCGCTGTTTTTGATGGAACAACCGCCGATGGCATCACACAAAAAGTAGCTTAAAAAGCAGGATATTTTATAATTTTGGAAATTTCTTATTTAATCGTTGATGACGATTATGCTCAATTGATAATGAGATCACTATTTCTAATAGAGCAAACGACGTCGACGACATTGAACTGACTTAAAAGTAGGATATATCAGACGATGAGTAATGAGGAATTTCGGATAAGAAAAAAAATGATCTGATATCTGCTCCTTCTGAATCCTTAAAAATGATTAATTTTCTAAGAAAATTTATGAAATTTCAAACTGATGCTTAACTTATTCTATGCCATTGATAATGCTGAAGATTTTGTTAAAAAATAAAATTGTGCCTTCTAAAATGCACCATTATCAGCAAGTATATAGTGAATCCGGGAAAAGATTAATGACATGAATGTGCACGAGAATTGTGTGTTTATGAATTTCCAATTTATGATCAAAGAGTATTATAAATATACCAGTTAAAGGTCACCATGAAATTTTAAGATGATTTTAAGGTGGTAATGTTAATTTTTGTCAAATATTGTATTTAGTTTTATTCTAGGTTGCAATAATTATTTTTCAATCTGCTTATTTTAAAATATTTGATAATTCGAATTTTGGTTAATTCGAACATTTTCCCACCTCGTTATAGTTGAATTATAACGAGCATTTGTCGCAAATAACTTCTGCAATTGTGATAGTAAAAAAATCTAATAGTTTAAAAATAAAAAAAATTTGAAGCGAGGGGAAAATTCTAACTCTTTGTTTTGCATTGGTAAAAAAACCATTTTATTAAATTAAACGCGTGTTTATGTTTGGAATATCTTAGTACTAAATATCAATAATTAAAACTAATGTTATTCCTAATCATAGTTTTTTTTGCAAAATATATATATATTTTTTTGTTTTTGCTTTTGTAGTATTCTATAGAATTACAGCTATTTTTTACATTGTAATTGCTAATTGAAACTAGTAAGAAAATAAATGAAGTCATTTTAAAACACAATAAAATGTATTTAGGATTTTTTTCATTGCTTTAAATCAAAATGAAATTAAAATACAACTCGACGTTTCAGCCGTTGTTACATTATTACAAAAATAAGAGAAAATATGGAAAATAATCGCAAAATGAATTGAATATAATATAATAATAATAATAAAATGAAATTGAAATAGAGCCTGATATTTTAGCTCTAGTTACATTATTACAAAAGTAAGAAAAAGTATGATTTTCTATTTTTTTAAATTAAATAAAAATAAAATAAAACTGAAGGTTTTAGCCTTTGTTACTAGTTCTTAAAATATCTATCGCAAATTATTTTTTCAATTTTAACTCGATATTTAATTGAAATACAACTTGGATGTAACAATATTTGCGAGTATAAAATTTTTTATTGTAAAGTTAAAATACGAATACATCATGTTGCTTCATTTAGGTTTTTACAACAGATTTGATCGCAGAATTAGTTAAAAAAGAATCTAAAACAAAAGACTCGAGGAAAATAGCAGAATTAAAAATGTGAGAGTTGCAATTAGCATTTGACTGCTTTTTAATGCAAATCCCCGATCTGAAAGTACTGGACATTATTTGATGAAAAATAATCAAAAAAATATTTTGAAATTTATGATTAATATGGTTTGTTTGTGTTTGTTGATTTCAAAAATTTTTAATATCTGTTGTGTAAAGAAATATTCTTTGTTTTCCGGAGTCTTTTATTGTTCAGAATTATCCTCGGCCTTCGAAAAAAGTAAGTTTGGGGTAGTATTTATTTCAGTTGAATCCGTGATTTTCTTTAGAAAACATAGGTGGAATTGTGCACAAGGCTTTAAAGGCGTTAAAAAGATACGAAATTATTTAAATAGACATAAAATCGCAATATGAGACTCATACTGCTTTTTAATACATTCTAGTTAAGCTATATTTCATTTTAAATACATAAAATACTTTTGTTTCTAGGTTTTGCTTATGTGGGTGGAGCGTGCGTCGTGAACAAACGATTAGAGAAAGTGAATAGTGTGGCTATTATAGAGGACAGTGGCGGGTTCAGTGGCATCATAGTGGCGGCACATGAAGTTGGCCACCTGTGAGTAAGCTTTTGTTTATCTATTATATTTGGCAGCAATAAATTATCCCTCACATTTTTTTTTCAATTTTTTTCATGTATAAATTTTTTTTCTCAGCTATTGCTAGTGAGAGCTTTTAAGATACTAATTATTCACTGAATATTGCCAAATTTTAAATTAAATTCATATACGGTGTTGCAAAACTGGGATTCAAGGTTTTATTGTGATAAACAAAACCATTTTTCATAACAAAAAAAAACTGAAGGGCTCCACCCCTGTTTGTCTGGTGGCCATCTTTGTTTCTCTTCGCTAGATAGAAACTTCGTTCCAAAATTGATAAATGAATTATTTCATGAAATGAACTGAAATGTTAATCGTAACATTAAAAAAAAAACTCAAAAATTTGGAATTCTCACGAAAAGCTTTTAGGCGTTATCATGTTTTCTGACTTAATTATTTTCACACATTGACAACAAAAGCAATACATTTATTGTATGAAAATAATTTTCTTGTTCTTCACTCGAATATAATTGATGATTGAAGAAAACAAATGGTGCATAATTAGGCTGATTAGGACCGAATTATTATTTAATATATTCTATTCAATTTGTCTGTTTGTTGATTTTTTATAAAAATATGGCTTTTCTTGACTTTAAAAGAAATGAAACGTAACTATAGTTGACAGAAATGATAATAAAAATCATTTAAGACTTATAATTTTGTTTCTTCACATTATCGGAAAGTTCTTTAAAAAAATAACAAATAATTCAAAGAAAATTAAGCGAAAAACTAAAACCTGTTAACAAAAACCTCATTAGCTTCATAATAAACACTTTGACGTTGCATAAAATTTTATACAATTGCTGTCATACTGGTCGGAATTAGTTTTTTATGGGAGATAATGTTGTGCAAAACTATAAAAGAAAATTTTTTAATAAGATGAAGAAAAAAATTACTACTCTTGAACAGTTTTTACAATATTATTTTTAATTATCAACTTTATATCTCTAATGTTTATCAATTTAAGTGCCCATATGACACCAAAATCGACCACCTTTCCTAACTAAGACGCTTGGTCCTACATCCTGGAAGACATTCTAGCCTCAGGAAGTGAGAAAAGAAGTCGGGTTTGATGTGAATAGATAGAATTTTCAAAATATCTAACCAGTCTATTTCAATTCGACCTGCTATTCTCGTGACATTTTTACTTCAGCGATATGTACGCCATCTGCAGTTTGAAATGACGGAGTTACTTATGAAGCAAAATGCAGCAACTTGCAAGTAAAATTGGAATACGTTATTTTCTGAAAAAACCAAATCTGCAATAAAAATTAGGGTTCCTATTCAAAATCTCAAAGTTCATTCCCTTTCTCGAGGGGAGATTAGGGAGTCGGATTTTGCGCACCACAGTAATACAAAATACAACAAATGCACCACAAAATATTTTATATTTTAATTTTTAGGTTTTTTGACCCAAATTCAACTATGTGTGATAGTATCGTTCAAGATTCGATGATAAACTTCTATGCGTTGATGTAATTAGAAATTTCCCATCAAGATTACATACAATTCAGTTTTATTTACAAGGAAGTTGGTTTACGCATCTAACAGCATGACAATCAAATCAAAGTAATAAAAATTGAGATGGTATAATATGAAATTTTATACGGATATACAAAAATTAAAATTGAATGAATCAGTAAAATATATCAGTATAAAAGAGTAGCTATATTCCTTTTGAAAAGTCGAAAAACGAAAAAAAAATCAATTAATATAATTTTCATTAATTTTTTAGCATATATATTGTGCGATATATTGCTTATTCACAACATCTTAAACAATAGTTGCTAAATAAGGCTAATAAAAAAAACTTTTGTAACTTAGTTTGGGATGTGTTCATGATGGATCTCCACCACCGAGCTATCTGGGAGGCCCTGGAGCGACACGGTGTCCATGGGAAGATGGTTTCATCATGAGTGATCTCCGGCACACAGATCGAGGTTTCAAATGGTCCTCATGCAGCGTTGAACAATTCAAACATTTCTTAAAGTAAGTATAGATAAATGAAAGCAAAGAAAAAAACTTTTTTTGATTATTATTTGAAAATTTTAACGAATTGCTTTACTGTCTAGCTGTCCAAGAGAATTACTGCTGACTGCATACCATTTTTTAATATAAAATAATAACGAAAAGTGTACTTCTTAAAACTTTATGATGTGTATTTAAACACTTGAATTGAGCTAACTAATAGTTATTTATTTGCTTAGCACCGTGTTTCTATACGCATGATATTAAAAAATACAAGAAATTTAGCCTTATAAACGAACAATATTGATCTACTTACAACTGGCTGGCTACAAGCGATGTCTCGCCAGAGGTGGGAAGGGAGAGAATTGGTGAAATTGGGACAGTTTGTGACAAGATGACGTGAGAGGGTAACAAAAAGAATAAAATTAAAACAAAAACATTTAGAATCAACAGATTATATATTTTTAAATTTTTAAACTTTCTCGTCAAAATATATTCACGTCTAAAAATTTTCGTTAAATTTTCTAAAATGTTCTGAAATTTGAAATCTAAAAATTTTCGAAAACATAGATAAAAGGGAAGAATGGGTAGGGTCCATTTTTTACAAAAATGAAGATTGAATCCCCCTCTGTGGCATTTTGGGAATTACTAAGTTTTGACAAATAAATAACATGGAAAATTGGTTCTCCTCGAGAGTTATTACACAGTAAAGATTAACCGTGCTGGTTAGAAACGGCTCCTGTCCACTCTCCTGGCAAAGAATAGGTTCTGCCCAAACACGCAAGTGCCTGTGGTTATGGAAAATATATCAAATTTTTAAAATGGACTGAACAAGAACATTCATTTGGTTTTTATCTCAGAAAATGTCAGTTCCTTGCTCTGTCAATAAGGATGCTCAAAGCGAGTAAAAATCTTTGAAATCTCTCAAAACGCCTTTTTAGGGCGAGTGCACGCCTAGGATATATTGAGTAATTACCGAGTTGCTTTAAAAAAAAAGGAAATGATTAATATTGCAGAATTTTTTTTTTTAAAAAAAGTAGTTGATTCATAATTTTAAATCTCTTACAATAAGACGCGTGAGTAATTAGCAAGCTATGTTTGAAAAGAAAAATTCAATATTACAATTTTGTTTTCAAAAAACTCAGCTGTTTCAAAATTTTAAATCACTTGCAATAGGACAGTTGAGAAATTACCAGGCTATTTTAAGAAAGAAAAGATTCAATATTTCATTTTCATAAAAAAAAATAGCTATTTTTAAATTTTGTCTCTTTTACGACAGGAAATGTTAAGAAGTCACCGAAACATTACAAAACGAAACGCTTAAAAATAGTAAAAATTTTTAAAAAAATGTCAACGTTTCGAAAAAGCTTTGCAAAAAAAGGAAATATGTATTTACATTAATACAATAAAAAAGGAATTCATATTAATATTGAAGTAATTTGTATTCAATGTATCTCTTCAAACTGTGTGAAATCATGAATTTTTGGATATGCAACGAATATTACATTTAAAATTACTTAACATTTTAATTTATTTCTATAATTTACTTGAAATGAAAAAACCGTACAAGTTTCATAAAATTCATATTTTAATTAAAAGTGTATTAATGTTTCTAGTGGAGAAACAGCTTCCTGCCTTTTCAACTATCCGGATGATAATAAATTATTGGCCAGAGAATTACCAGGAACCATGCTCACACTTGATGAACAGTGTGAAAGAGATCGAGGAACTCAAGCTTGCTTCGTAAGTATTTTTTTGTTGTTCTTTCGTTAACAGAAATTTTATTCAGATAAAGTCTAATGCACAAATTTGTCAAAAATTATTTTCTTTTAAGCTTTACAAGTCCTCAAAAGCAAGCTAATCTTTTAAAAATATTTATTACATTTTTCTTGCTACTAAGGAGTACTTTCTTCATATGTACTACTTTCTTTCATATTTTCACTTGCTGCATCTGAGTTTCCAATAACATTAATAATCATTAAATCAAGAATAAAATAGTATAGTTGATTTAAAATTTTAAAATTTGCAAAATAAAATATTTTAATATGAAATCAAGACTGAATAATTGAGATAATTGAAGATTGATTTATGCATAAAAATGTGGATACGTATGCCTTGACAGTATATGTTAGAAGTTATTGAAATTAGTCTACATTTTAGTTTATTTCATAATTTTTGAAACAAGAAAATGAGTAAAGTAGTTTATCTTCCGTGAAAAAAATTTAGATTTTTATTTATTATTTACTTCTCTTGCTTAGTAACCTTCATTTATTTCCTATTTTTTCAATTTTATTATTTTCGCGTCAGAAAAAAATGAAGACCACAGCACCGTTTGATTTTATAACTTCAAAATGTGTTTTTAGCATTGATCTGGGCGCTGTATAGCTGCATCCGCAATGGCATCATTAAATTTTAAACTTAAAACCCTTTCAGCATATAAAGACTGATTTATTATGTTAATTTAAGCACGGTTGTTGAAGACAGAATATTTCATTTGAAAAACATTAAATGAGAAAAAATTTTGTCTACTACACAACACAAACGCTAATATTTTATTAAGGTTGTATCCGTGATTTAGTTGCCGTTTTAAACAAATATAGCTTATTTTATTATTATTGTATTTAGATTAAGGCTGGGGGAATTTATGTTTTTCTTCAGATAAATACCAGTTACACAACCCCGGGTCACCTTAGTGAACTTTGTTTTCCAGTTTTCGTCTTATTTTATTTTTATATCAGACATTACGCAAACGATGTTTCATTTTACTACTTAATGCATTATTGTAATTTTTTTACTTTGAAGTTAGTGCTGTGCTATTGAACACTACCTTCAACTCAAATTAGCGCATAAATGAAATAAAACCATGAAATAGGTCCTAAAGGTTCCCTTAGCAAAGTTTTTTATTATTTTTTGTAATAAAAGTTATTGTTAATATCATAAGAGTGGATACAATAATACAGTCAAACCCCGCTATAGTGAACACGGCTTATAGTGAACTCCCGGATATAGTGAACGAAATGTTTGGCCCCATGCCTTGCTATACATGTATAATGTTAGTTTTTGTGGATATAGTGAACCAAAAAAGTGAGGAAGTTGGATATAATGAACTTTTCTCTGTCTTCGACTGATTTTTTCCCCATTTTTTTTTTGTAATAATTTTGAAATTTCTACTTCAAAATTAATACATATACCGATTTTCAGAACCATCTGTAGAGGGGAATGTAGCGATAAACATTTTTTCTTGTTTGCTTCTTTTATCTCTCTTTCCCATCCCTAAACAAACCAAGCAGATGATCCACCTGTAAGGTGTCAGTAGGATCAATATGCATTTTCTGTCAAAGGGAATGAGTAATTATTAATTATTGGTCAAAGGGCTGAACACTAATATGTGTTGATAGGGCCCTCATTTCAACTCCTTTCTGCTAACAGTTCAGTTAAAAAAATCCTGTAAACAAGTGTTTCAAATTTAACTATGGCGAGCAGTAAACGCAAACGTTCTCCACTGATGATAAAATGGGCATAATCAGAAAAATTGAAAATGGATGCAGTCAAGCTGATATTTTCAGAGAATATAAACTACCCAAATCTGCAGTTTGTAACATATGGAAAAATAGGCAATTAATAATTTCTGATCATAAAAAAATTTAGATGGCTGAAAAAAGTTGCGAAAAGCAGATCACAAGGATGTTGAAGATGCATTACTGAAGTGGTTCACCAATCGAAGAAGCCACAATTTTCCACTATCTGGACAAATGTCGATGAATTTGCTACGCGATTTTATGAAACTACTTTTATGTGTTCAAATGGCAGGTTAGACAGGTTTAAAAAGTGGAATAACAGAAATTCAGGAAAAATTATCTGAGAGTCGGGAAGTGTTTCCATATCTGATGTTGAGGATTGCTCATCAGCTAAAGATTACTAATTTTTTTTTTGTACGCAAGACGAAGAGTAATGAAAAATAACACATTTTTTGCTACTACATAATATTTTTCAGTCATTTATTTGAATAATGTGTAATAAAAGGGAGGAGTTTGGGAACCATTAGTTAAATTGTCTGCGTAATGGATATAGTGAACTCCCGGTAATAGTGAACCGAAATTTCGGTCCCTTGAAGGTTCACTATAGCGGGGTTTGACTGTATAAGTAATTTTTAAGATAAGTCTCCATGTTCCCATATTTTTCATGAATATATAAGAAACTCTATTACAGCGAAGTTGAAATAATAAATAATAAAGTATATACCTTTTAATTTTACGCATTTACGTTTGGGTTACATGAAGAGGAGAACCACAAAAACCTCCCACAGCTAACCAGACGACTAGGGTACTCTAATCCATGATTCATCTACCACTGAGGATATTTTAAGTGAGCACTGTGATCGGTGCAAGCCGGTGCGGAATTCATATCGACCAGCCATCGCAGGGATTCGAACCCGGTTCACCTCATTGGAAGACGAACGCTCTATCGCCTGAGCCACCACGGCTCGCCAATGGATATAGGACTAGTTTTACTCTCAATAGAATGCAATGATTTTATACTACATTTTGGTGATAGTCTTACTTTAATTTGACTCGAAATCATCACTTTTTTTTTATTTGCAGAAAGACAGTCGAGTTTGTGCTCAATTATTTTGCTATGACAATGATTCAGGCTATTGCGTTTCATTTCGACCAGCTGCAGAAGGCTCTTCGTGTGGTGATGGGCAGGTAAAACTCTTATTTAAATGTTTTTATGCTAAAATTTAAGCACTGTGTTGGGTAATAAATAAGTATATTATATTTTAAAATGACGTATTCATGAGGAAGCAAATGTTCCTGTGAAAAGTATAAATTTTTATCATATTTATTGCAATTTTCAGTTACTAGTTTTGCACTAGTCTTATAGTCAGCGTACTACGCAGTAAAGCCATAGGGCTCTTATTCAATTTTTGTCTAAAATGCAATTTTATAATTCTGATGATTTTATAATGCATTTTTAAATTGTCATAAACAATAACTGTATAAGCGAATAAGAATCATTCAATTAATGTTTATGAAGAAATTTATTTTTACGTGAATATATAATTACTTAAATTTTATAATCCGAATTTATCTAATACCATCTTGACAACTATAGATATGCTGCAAAGCAGTTTGGTCATGTAATTTTGGTCAAATAATTTCTGTGAAATATGATAGAAAAATAACGAAATAGAGCTTAAGGATTGTCGAATCGACAAAAATGAGAGTTTTATTTCCGAGAGTGTACAGTTTTATTTTACAGTCTTAAGTAATTTCAGAATTTTACAGATGCATTTTAAACTGGTCTAGCAAATTGAATATTGACTTTTCAAAATTGAATATTAGATTTGGAGGATTCGATGCGTATAAAAGAAACGTAAACAAATTTTAAAAATTCAGAAATATTTTGCTTATTTAAAGCAACCGAAGATCATTTTACAGTGCTGATAATTTTAAAAGCAATTTAAATAATTTCTAAACCATAAATATTTCATATTTCTTCTGTAAGCTTTTATCATTAATACTGCTCAATTAAATTATAAATAATTTTTTCGTAAATAGATATTTACTCAGCAGTATAGGAATAGAACTAGATTTAATATGAACTTCAACTTATTTTACTTTCTAAACTTACTTTGCGAGAAATTTGTTACAAAAATATTACAGCTTCGGTAAATTGAATGATATTGAAAGCCTAAGTCCCCTATTCGCTGCCCTAACTAGCCCCGATTATTGCTTCGCAATAATTGTTGTTTCTAGACATAAAACAGTTTTTTTTTAACGAAAGTTGAAATTATTTACTTTATATGAAGTACTATAAGTAACTCTATTTTCCTGTGCCCCCATTTTCCACATTCAATATTCATTTCTATAAATTCAATTTTATTTTAGTCAGACTTTATTGATAGTCTGACTATGATAGATATAGTAATAGATGCCGGATAATTCTATTTTCCTTATAATTCCATTAAAATCTATAAGTGAACATAAATAATTTTGCTTTATTATAATTTCCTTCTGAAAAATAATATTTAAAATTAAAGTTATATTGTTATAACAAAGTCAGTAAGTTCACAACCGTAATTTATTAATTTATATTTAACTGTAATAATTCGTAATTTTATATTAATTATGCTTATTATTAATTATATTTAATATTAATCATATTTAATATTAATTATATTTAATATTAATTATATTTAATATTAATTATATTTAATATTTAGAGGTGGAGTCTACCACTGTAACTTTCAAAAAACGGATGAATATTATTGGTAATACTTTATTACAAAGTCCAATAGTAGCATACGTGAGAAGATTTTCTTATAAATAGCTGCTTTAATGATTGAAAATAGGGAAAATTTCTACGTTTTTTCTTATGCTTTTTAAATTTTGGTTAGTACTTTGCGACTGTTAGATTTCTTTTTCCTTTATGAGCTCGTTTGCGCTATATAGGACATAGTTCAAGCTGCCTTGCTTTAGAATAAATATTTTATAATAATAAAATCAATAACATTTTCTTTAGGTGTGCAAAAATGGAAAATGCATAGTAGATAATGAAAACATAATTCCTGATTACACCCACGTCACAAGATCAATAGCAAATCGCATTGATAAAGAACCACCGAAACAAACAACGAGTAGGCCATCACCTGTAAGAGTGAACAAACCAATCAGCAGGGCTTCCAGAAGACCGCCCAGACCTTCCATATCTAACAGAAATAGCATTAAGCCAGTTCAAAAACAAACACCATCCACAACTTCAACAACTACTACAACGACAACAGTCAGTGCACCAAAAGGTAAGGCAAAAAATTTGTAACGAGGTTATTTTGATTTGATACAATCTATGCAGGATTATGCGAATAAAATAATTATTCACTAATTAGAATGAATTTTAAACCATAAGACTTCGTCATTAAGGCAAGTTTGCAGTCACGGACGTTATTTTGAAACCATTTGGTCTTTTACTTTGCAAGGAGAGAGGGGGAAAAAATCCACGGCAAGGGACTAATCAGCGGGTAGTAGCAAACGAGTATACCATTTATCATCGCGATACGAAATCTGGATGTCTCATTGGGATTGATCCTAATCCCAAACTACACTGGTGGACAGATTTAAGAGATGGAAGACATTTTCCCAAATATCTCAAAAAGTACTGAATATAAATAAATGAAATTTGGTATGGATATAGCTTATTCCATGATAATAAAGTATGCAAAACAAAAATGAAAGTGACATTCACTGGCAAGACCTATTGCCAATAAATCCAATATAGTCTGAACTTAAGGATAAAAGATGACAACAAAAGTGAGGCTTGTACAGTGTGTGTTGCCTCTAGCATGGTGTATGGTCACCCCTGACAGAAAGACAGACAGACAGCATGCACAACGAGTATGCGTGCTGTTAATAAGGGTGTTAAGGAGGACTTGTGGAAGACCCTCCCATTCTTCCACCAGAGCAATTTTTAACTCCAGAATGGTTCTGGGGGGAGGTTGGCGCATCGCAATAGCTCTCCCAAGAATATCCCAAGTATGTTCAATAGGATTCAGGTCAGGGGATTTGGCTGGCCAATCCATTCGTTGAATATCCTCGCTTTCCAGATACTCATCAACCATGAGAGCCCTATGTGGTTGCGCATTGTCGTCCATAGAAATTAACTCAGGGCCAACAGCGCCCCTGAAAAGGCGCACATAGGGCTCTAGGACCTCCTGCCTGTACCTCTGAGCATTCACGGAACCATAGTCAAACACATGGAGCGGAGTGCGGGTATCTTGCATGTGTGAATGAATGTGCGAAAATGCTTTCCATCTCTTAATTTTGTCCACCAGTGTCATATTCTTTGCCATCATCCATTAATTATTATATAACCTAAAAATTACGACAATATATAAAATTTTTAAAAGTAGTTGTGTCAAAATGATTAACCTAGTATCAATAATACCAAATAAGCAAGTATGGCAATTGTGGGTATAAAAATATTTTTGAATTTTTAAAGGTCATAGTTATAATACTTCAGTAAAGTTTGAAAATTCAAAGGTTGTATTTTAAAAAAAAAATTACAATATTTTTCTAAAAGTTTAAGTCGTTTGGAGTTAAACTCTAGGAGAAAGATGGGGGGGGGGAGGAAGAGAAAAAGAGAAGAAGAGTAAAAGAGCTTTAAAAAACTTCAAAAAAAGCTAACTCTTAGAAAAATTTTACTTTTTCTTTTTGAAAGTAAAAAAAACAATTTTTCCTGAAACCTATTTTGGAAATTGATGGTCATGATTTAATAAAAATTAATTCACCAATCTAACTGAAATTTCACACGCATTTTTCATAAGATTGCCTAATAATTGAGGGAAGGTTTTTTCATTCCATCTCTTTGTTCACAACTTATTTTACTAGATAAAATGTGGTCTCTATTTTTCGGAAAATTGTGCTTTCTTGCATAAAGTCCTACTAAATTTTTAGTTTTAAAAATACATTTCTTCGTTGATTCACAATTTATACTTATTAGCAAACCATATTTGGTTGATTGATTTCATACGTTTTACTAAGGTTAATTCGAAAATCAGTTCTTAACAACTAAATTTTCCAAATTGTTTTTAAAGCTCTTATAAATTTTTCTGGCACTTTTTTAAACTTTGTTTAGTACATAACATATGTTAAAATCTTAGAATCCTTTTCCTTTCTTTTCAATATTTTTTGGGCTTTATAGACCATAGCTTAAGCTCTCCAACCTGTGAATTCTCATTATTATTGTTCAAATACTGCTTTATTTCACTTATAGCTTGAGTTAAATGTTTATTTAATCTCATTAAAATATAGTGTAAATGTTTTTTCTTCGAAACCCATATAACCTTTTAAAATTATCGTTAAAAAAGATCTTGCTGAAATTGATCGTAACATACGGTGAGAAAGCTAGATTCTCCCCGTTTTGTGTGATTATCTCATTACTCTTTTAGTATTTTAAATTACAATCCTTTGTAAATCTGCTGTCTGTGCACCTAAAAAACTACAAGGAGTAAACCATTGCCATTATCAGCTTGTTTTTATGTAATTTAAATGAAATTAAAGGTGATGGTGGTCAAGGAACTGTGGCTCTTGCCGAGTTACTATTGGATGACGAGTGTAATGTCCTAATGTACACTAAAGGGGTGGGTCTAAAAATTTATAATTTTTTCTAATTTGGTATTCTTTATTACAGTTTTGAAGAATTTTAAAAGATTGTCTCTTGTGAATAAAATTAAGCTGTTTTTAGATGTTTCGTGCTGAACTATGCCGGGGATAATGCTGAAAAATCTTAAAAATTATAATATTTCTAAAAAATGTAATATTTACACAGAAGAGCCATTACATTATGACCACCCTGTATCTATAACAATGGGCTCGCCCAGGTTTTCATGGTTTCTCGCCAAGGAACAATGTTTTTATGGGGCACATTAGGACCCATAATCCTCATAGAACAATCCCTGACGTCTGTAAGCTACTTGAACATAGTTGCAGACCAGGTTCATCCATTCATGGCAACAGTTTTTCCTGTGGGGGATGGTGTTTACCAACAGGATAATGCACCATGTCATAAGGGGCGAATCGTCATGGATTGGTTCGACACATTCCAGTGACTTTCAAGTCATGTCTTGGCCCCCAAATTCACCTGACTTTAATCCAATAGAGCATTTGTGGTCCTACTTGGAAAACCAAATTCGTGCTTCCCCCTACCCCCTCGCAATGTGAGGGAATTGCAGGACCAGTTGGTGAGCGCTTGGTTTCAGATACATCAGACTACCTATCAGCACCTTGTGGAATCAATGCCACTGCGGGTGCTAGCAGTTTTGAGGGCTAAAGGTGGTCCTACATGTTATTAGCAGGGTGGTCATAATGTAATGGCTCTTCGTTGTATATTGTAATAATATAATTATGATTTTCCCCAGCTTAATTATTTTCAGTATGGCTAAATTTTAATATTTTTTGTTTTTTAGATTGTGAAGATATTGTGGAAAAACTTGCGGGTGGACTTACTTGCACAGAATTCTTAGAGCGGTACGGAGACCGATATTGTAGGCACAATTACATGATTAAAAATTGCTGTCATTCTCATCAAATAGTGTGTGCCAATAGTTAAATTTCTCCTGTTTTTTGTGGATTCTTATTAACTTTTACAGGGTCAATTCTTTCTAAGGAATAAATCTTTTAGCGTGTGAGGAAGATTATTGTAAGATAGTGGTGAGAGCACAGCATCACTTTTCTACCCAAACTTTGTGCGATGTGAATTTGTAACTGCGTGTGTTTCAATTGTCAAAAGTGGGCCGTTTGGCCAAATTTAGTTCCTTCTGTTTTTAATATGGACTTCATAAGAAGCAAGGTTGTTGATTTTTGTTTACAAAGTGTGTGCGATCGTTGGGTAAAAGATCATTAGACTCATTAACGGTTATGTGATTGTAGTCACTGTGTAATATTTTCCTTAATTCAATTTTACAATTATAATTAATTTTCATGTGAAAATATTAATTTTTTATTCATATTTACATTAGTACAGGCTTTATCAACTTACCTTAATTACAGTTTGATAAATACCGGTGTTCAATTTAATTTTAGAGCTATTACGTGTTTCATTGTTTTAAGAATTGAGGCCAAGTATTCTTTTTTTCTTGAATTTAAATTTTAAATTCTGTTTTTATAGTAAATTTATAAAGAAAACAATCCTCAACACAACTAGAAATGTGATAGCCTCATAATGGTAGCCTTAAAGATGTTTCAGTTTCAGAAACGTCGTAGGAGAAAAATATTAATAATAAGTATTCAATCTAAAAACTTAAATGTGTTTTTTTGAGGTTTAAATAACATGTAATGCCAATAAATAAAGATTTATGACGGCAGCAGTTAAATTCTGTGTGTGAACGAAGATATTTACGTTAAAAAATGTAAAATTGATGTTTAATAAACTTTTATGTTAAGGCAAATCAATGGAAACGCTTATTTTTTTTTAAAGAAAAATGCTATTTGGTATGAATAAAGGTTTCAACTTTAAGAAAATATTTAATTTCATGTTATTTAAAGATTTTTATTGTATCCAGGACATTGACATCCCATTTTCTTTAATCAAAAAGGCTTTCTTCAACATAAAGTGCAAAAATTATAAATAATAAAATATTGCTTTATTAATAAGGGAGAAAAAAATCTTTGTTATTTTTTAAACTTTTATAAATTAAGTGTTCAAATATTATTAAACAATTAAGAAAAGCCTTTTACTTAGAAAAAACTTAATTTATTCATTGAAAGTGTACGTTTTAGTGAGTGTTTTCTGAATATTTTTAATGAATATAATAATTAAATAAGTACATATATCCTTCCGATGAATTATCATATAAAATACTGCAGTTCAATCACAAATTGTTTAAAACTTTTAGAAAAATTGAAATAAAAAATATAAATTGCAGGTAAATTGCGTTTTCACTCGATGCTTTATAATTTGGATATCAGTTTTGCAACATCAGAATCTCAATTTCTTAAGAGAAAAAACAGACAATGATGGAAACAAACACTTTGATGTTTCGATACCATCTTCATTTTTAAATCCTATTGCCTTATCCCAACGATAGACAAATGACACATCTTATTCATTGTTTTCATTTATTTTCATTCACTTATCATTTTCATCAGAGTGGTTTTTCTTTTCTTTTTTAAAGTATTCTGACAAATGACGAATTTACATATTTATTTCCCTTGTACTGCAGAATGATAATAATGTTCTATTTTGCGAATAATTTAATTTAAATAAGTTCTGGTATATAGATAATTTTTTTTCTCTAAAAATACTTAATTTCTGTTTTGCTTCTGGTTCAATGTTTTTACAGTTTCGGGAATTCAAACAAATCTGGGATCGATATTTATAAATATACAATGAGTAAAAAAATTGTTAGAGAACAATCTATTTAAAAAACAGCGGGGAAAAATGATTATTTTTTATTTCATTAATCAATAAGTAATTTTAAATTAACTAAATGTTAAAGAATGAATGTTTCCTTATAAAAAATAACATCAAACTTTTAAACTAGTTGTAATTAAATATTCAAAATTTCTCCTATATTGGTGTGGTATTTTTTGTTGCTTTTATTACGAATAGTTCAATATTTTTCTTTATACAATTAAGTTAATAATTTATCAATAAATTTAAATTGATAGTTTTATATTTTACTCCTTTATTTCTTTTATAAATTTAATAATTTTTGCTTTTATGCATTTTGCCCGATTGAAATAATATGAATGTTTACAAAGACTTTAAACCAGGAAGTTATTTGCACAATTTTACAACAACATTATTTTTTTAAATATATTCATGGAAAAATGTTTCTGTGTGTTAAGCATTTCATTGTAATTCATTATTTCATTGATTTAATAAATCAGTTATTTTTCTGTTTTGTGCCTATTTGTTGTGTACTTGATTCAATTTTTAAGTATAACTCATGTTTTGTTTTCATTTGTTGCTACTAGTTTTGAAGTAGTTTAGGATAACAAACCAGACTAAAGTGGCACTATGAGATTTAATCTAAAAATCACTAGCTATGATTACGAGAATTTCTATTTAAAGGGTTCTTAACTTCTAATTCCAGAAAATCATTTCAACATATTGTAAGGGGTTCTCAAAATTGAGCAAAAAGGTAAAAAAATTTAAAAAAAAAAACACGAAGTCTAATTTGAGTACAGTAACATGCTTAAAATTGAAACACCATATGATAATTTTTTGAGTAAAATTCCTAGTCTCGAAAATGATGAAGCAGGAAAAAAGCACGAGAAAGATTCTCATCGGCTGCCGCCTGGATTCCAACCAAAGACCTCTTGGTTCGTAGTGTGATGGTCCAGCCACCATGAAAAAGGTTGTACACCTCAGTACAAAGTGAGTTAAGAAGCATTATATTCTATACAGTTTTCTCAAAAATATACGATGTTTCAATTTTTATCTATGCAAATCTCACTATACTCAAGTTCGACTGTTATTTGCTTCAGAGCTACTTTAACGCATTTTTGCTCAATTTTGAGAAACTTTTTTTTATAGTGTGCTTAATAAGTTTTCAGAAAATAGAAAAAGAAAGGTCAATTTTGATAAAAGTTCACTAAGACCAGATAATATACCTTAAAAAAAAACTATGATCGTACATAAGAATTTAAAAACTTAATAAGAATATAAGAATTAAATATTTACCCATGAACGTATAGATTTATTATTAATATTTATGGAGAAACGTTTATAACACTGCAAGAAATGTGATGAATAATTTTCCAACATAACTTCTAGCAGATGGAGTGTATTTTCCAATAAAACATGTGCGGCACCTGTTTCTTATTTTATGATTGAGTTTTACGGATTTTTCCTAATAGCTTTAACTTGTCCTTTTAAATTTCAAACAATTCAAAACAAAACATCTAATTTCAGAAAATATAACTGATTGATTTCACATCACACGAAAATCTTAAGAATAAATTTCTAAAAATGAGGAGCACAGAATTTTATATGTAGTAAAAAAAATATCTTAAATATGTTCAAGGAATTTATTATGTATATTAAAGTCATATCTTAAATATGTTAAACTAGACGTTAAAATAATATTTTAAATGTATGTTTAATAATTTTTAACACATAAAAGATAATTTCCAAAATTTTTAATAATTTATGTTTCTATGCTCAAGTTGTTACTAAAAGTATACAGAGTGTCGAAAACATATCAAAACAGTCCAATATCTAAAAAAAAAATTCCAAAATTTCCGAATTTCCTAAACTTTCTCAAGAGGTTATGTATTGATCAAGATATCTTCATTTAAAATAGTTAGACAAAATTTTCCTTTTACTACGTCATCTTTGCACAGTGGGCCAGTATCCAAAACTTCGTGGCCAAAATTAGTATTTCGATAAAATTTGTTTCAAAATTTGGGGTTTCTTATGTGCAGGTAAATTGAATTCATAGTTGAAATTTTGAAATATTCTAAAATACCTAAAATGGCGGCTGAAATATGGCGAGCAAAAATAAAAATAATTATATAGTACGCTTAAATAATTAAATGTAGCAATGGAAATATAATAATTTTCGTAATTTTGTATTAAAGATGAAAAGTAAATTATATTTCCGAAGTAATATTGCAAAATAACGCGAATTAATTCCAAAATAACGTGAAAACATGAAAAAAAACATAATTTTTGTTTTTCGGTATGTTTCGTCCACCTTTGCAATACGGGCAAAATGGGGCAGGTTTTTTCGAAAAAAGAAACATGAAAGAAGACAAAAAAAAGAGTTTAGCTAATTACCTCGTGAAACTTTTTGGAACTAAGTTTCGAAAGTCATTCAAACATTGTAAAATGTCAAATAATAAGATTTAAAGTATAAGTTTGTCAAGAGTATTAACTAATCAAATAAATTGAAAAATTGCACTATAATTTCAGACTAATTACTCTGATAAAAATGTAACAGTGAGGTGAAATTCCTATATATATTTCTGACATAAAAATTTAAAAGTTACATTTAAAAAAAATTGTTTAAGCATATTTTTCATTACATTGTACTCTCGTCGGTCCAAAAAGTAAATTATAATGATTGGAATGATTATGATTACTTAATTTTGGGGTATATTAAAGCTGCCTATACATATTTTGGTTGAAAATTTAATTTTTAACTTTTGGTCAAAGATCATGGTCTTCTGGCCCACAGTGCTTTGAGGCAAAACACAGAGATGTATAAATCAGATATTCAGATTGGTCACAAGAACGCACGTTTTCAGAAAAGGAGGTTTTTGAGGCTGAACTCTATAAGTTTAGACACCTTATATACAATTTAAATGAAGTAATTTAATTAAAATATTCATTAAAATCATTCACCAGAGATAACTTGTTTATCGTATGTATCCGTACAAAAATATTTATGTATTTGTGTAAATTATATACCATAAACTTTTATTTTTACAAAATGTTTTATTCTGACAGATAAAATTTTTGCTTAAATTCCATGCAACTCAAATTTAATTAATTTCTTCTTAATTAATAGAAATATTTCTTTAAAGCAAAATTTCACTTTGATAAAGTTATATTCAAAGTAAAACGTATAATAAAAAACTGAATTTTAAATTAATTAAACATTTTAAATTAATAGCATTGAGCATTACAAAAAGTGCATCAGTAAAACAGTCTTACTTACATGGTGGTATATTTGCAAGTATTTTAAATAATAAATAATGATTTATAATTAAAATGTCATTTCTTTGGTTAGTAACTATTTCAGAAATTGATAAAAAATTATATCATACAATAGCCATTAATTAATTGTTTGATAATAGTTTTGCTTTTTACCATACCGCCATAAACATCATGTTTTGTTTTTCAATAGAAAGACACGATATTCTGCCATAGATCATGTTTCCATATCCGGGAAAAGTCATGAGAAATTTTAGCTTTTATTCATGGATGTTTTTGACCTATGACTCTTTATTCGAACTCTGAATTCAAATTAGGATTTTAAATTAATTTAGGTAAAGCTTACTGGAAAAGAGAAAAAGAAAGTGAAAGCGATGCGACTAATGTCAAAAGGTTAAACTATAAATTTTCTGTCAATTAACCTTTAATCCTAATGCCAAAATCTCTACCGTTCCCTGTTTTACGGCAATTTGAATGCAATATTAGTTATAAGACATACGTATTAAAAAGTTGAAAATTGGGATATGGTTTCATAAAAGTATTTTATTTTTAATTTTTGATTTTTCAACAATTAAATAATATTAGAGATTTTAATGACAAGATACAATAGAACCACTATAATATTTTGATGCAGCATTTGGGATATTGTAGAAATTAGGTTTAAAATTATACGAACTCCTTAAGTTGAATATCATAAAATAGAAAAATAGTTTTATTTATGGCAGAACCTAATGTTTAAATTAATTCTCATATAAATTGGCTCTAAGTCTCTAAAATAAGCTCTACGTTGAGCCGTAATGAATTTTAACAGAGTAGAAAATTTTTCTAACTTTAAAATAAAATGTTAGATTTGACCATATTTTTACGTTGCATGATATAGTTTAATTTAATGCTGTATTAAGGTTGAAGAAAACTTGAGCAGTATTATAGTTGAATACAATGCATGATTCAAAATTTCGAACTGTGCATTTTTTTAAAAAAGACAATAACATCAAACTGAGAAAATTAATATAATTTGTGCAAAGATTTCTAAAATTAGGACTAATCAGATTCGTTTGATGCAGAAAATTGAATAACCATGTTTTCAGGGAAAATAATAATTAATTAAAGGGTTCCTAACAAAAGCAGTATTAAAACTCAATTGTTAACAATATTATTATTAAACAACATTAAAATTAAATAATTATTTTTAAAACTGAACCAAAACAAAATTCATTATTTAATAATAATTCATAACAAAAAGAAATTCAGGAATTCAGAAATCCGAAAACTTAAAAAAAGTTAAAGAAACGATAAGGATTCTATGGTTTTTAAGAGATAAAATTTAAAAGTATTGTGGTTTAATATCATATTGTAAGAGTTGAATTTCTAGGAAAATTAATTTTCTACAGATTTAAAACAGAGCAAAGAGACCAAAATTAGATTTAAAGCAAATAAATTTTGTCAAGCATGCATTTTCCTTAAAAAGATAGTTTGTAATTATTCAAAAAGAAAAATTAATATAATAGTTTGAAATAATGTAAAATATTGACTGAAAATGCAAAAATTACATGTAGTGATGAAATACTTCAATTCGAGTTAACAGGAATTCACTTAAAAAAGGATGCATCCGAACACCAATGTGGTTTGTCCAATATGACGAAATATATGACTTCAGCTTCATTTTTCTTGTAAAAACAGCGAAAACAAAATTCTTTAAATGAGAAAAAAGTTTAAAATAATAAGAACTTTTAACTGAAAATGGAAA